ACAAGAAAGAAAGAAAGAAAGAAAGACAACATTACAAGAAAGAAAGAAAGAAAGAAAGAAAGAAAGACAAAACTACAAGAAAGAAAGAAAGAAAGAAAGAAAGAACGACAACACTACAAGAAAGAAAGAAAGAAAGACAACACTACAAGAAAGAAAGAAAGAAAGAAAGAAAGACAACATTACAAGAAAGAAAGAAAAAAGAAAGAAAGAAACAAAACATTACAACAGGAAAGAAAAGATCATGAAAGGAAAAAATAATGGAATTGCCAGAAAAAGCAACAATTATAAAAATAAGAAAGAAAGGAAGGACAAAAAGAGAGAAAGAAATCACGGCCTTATGAAAGAAAGCCTGAAAGAAAGGACTTCGAAAATTAAGAGAAAAAGAAAGAAAAAGATACACAATAAGAAAGAAAGTGCGACAATAAGAAAGAACTGAAAAATGAGGGAGAAAAATAAACGTTGATAAAAAGAGAGAAAATGAATGTGTAAAAAAAAGAAAGAAAGAATGAAAGAAAGAAAGGTTCATACAAATTAAGAAAGAATCACGATAAGAAAGAAAGAAAGAAAGAAAGAAAGAAAGAAAGAAAGAAAAAAGCTGAAGGGACGAGTCAATGAACCCAGACTGCAAATGATTGAAAAAAAGAAACATCCAAATAAACAAAGAAAGAAAGTAAAACGAAAGAAAGAAAGAAAGAAAGAAAAACATAAGAAGTCAATGTAGACGAATTGAAAAAGAAAGAAAGAATTCCAATGTGAAAACAGAACCAACGAGAACAACACACACACATTGAAGAAAAAAAGAATTCTAAATGCTTCGCCATTTTCTAATTCTGTTCACAAATCTGATAAACGATGTTGTTTTGCTAAAAATCCATTAGGGCTTTCATCCATTCTCCCTAAACTGCACTTGGTGCTTCAACAAATCTGAACTCATCACCTGTTCAGGTTTTCTCCGCTAAGATCTGAACTTTCTGATCGAATACAATGATACACTGAGCCACGTGTTGATTCCAAGAGCGATTCACAGATCTTGTGACTTGGGAAATATATGAATCCATCTCTTCCCAACACTTCCAGCTATGGGTAAACACTGGTTCCTTTAGATTTGGTTTGCGAACGGAGAAGACAAACTCTGAATTTAAAATGTCGTTTGGGGACGTTGTGGCATACTGTACGCCAATTCTCTGTCTTCAGTTCTTCCAAAAAGTGACGTTGATTCCGCCCAAGCTTCCACCACTCTAATAAAAAAATGTGCAGGTAGTAACCTGACTAGACGTTGGGTCTATAAATTGAGTTGCTTGATTCTCATACATCGAAAACAATGGGAGAATCCTCTAGTAATAATAGTAGCATATATATAGTCTTGAGTAGATCCCGTATATTTTAGCAGCATATATATATATAGATAGTTAAATTCCCAGACCAATTCTGTGGACAAGACAGATTGGTATAAAATGACAGAATCGTCTATCTTTTTAAATTTGGATTTTTTAATGTAACTATAACAACAAAAATATTTTGATTTCATTTTTGCCTTGAAAAAGTCGGAAGACGAAACGCGTCGGCAAAATCTAAGATTTTTTTTTTCAATTTTCATTCATTTTATATATATATATATATATATATATATATATATATATATATATATATATATAAAAGGAAGAGGTTATAGTAGTTCCAACGAGAGAAATGTGCCTATATTAAAAAAGAGAGAGACCGCAAACTTTTTTTTGTAATGTGGAATTCTTTTTTTTAAATATTATGCTTTTTTTTTCATAATTTTCTTTATTTTCCATAATTATATAATATTTTCCACATTACAACCAAAAACGTTTGCGGTTTCTCTCTTCTTTTTAATATATCTATATCTATATCTATATCTATATATCTATATATCTATATATATACATAAATTTCCAAGAGGATAGAATCCAGGCAGAACTCAATGTTCAGGACAGAGTAAGAATATAATATAAAAGGCTCAAACACTAATATTCCATGGTTATAATTTATTACATTGGAATCGTAATCACGGTCCAATTCATCAGACCTACAAATTCAAAAAGCTTTTTGAATTCGTAGGTCTGATGAATTGGGTCGTGATTACTTTTCCAATGTAATAAATTATAACCATGGAATATTAGTGTTTATTCATATATATATATATATATATATATATATATATATATATATATATATATATATATATATATATTCATACACGTTTCATTAAATAATTTTGACAAGTATTGTCTATTTATTTTATGTAAATTTTTTTCGTAACATCCGACAAGTTCAACAACATTATCGTTGAACGAAGAAAGAAATTCACAATATTGATCCATATTTTTTTTTAATACAATCTAAGCTTTCAGGTTACATAAGCCATTATCAAAGATGTCAATTACAACATATTAAGCAATAGTGACAGTGATGATAGTCTATCAACGTTCACATAGATGATTTCTAAACAACGATAAAGACGCGCATATAAGACGTCAGAAGCGAAAAAATATGGATCACTATATATATATGTATTAATTAGTACATATATGTGTACATACGTTTTTGGTGTGCGACTATAGTTTCAGTGGGTATTATTTCCATCCGTCGGGCACGGGGTCTACTATGGGGTCTATCCCGTGCCTGACGAACTGAGAACACCACCCAGTGAAAATATAGTCACACGCCAAAAACGTATTAACACATATCTTTGCTCTGTAAAAACGCATTGAGCACTATTACCTTTACACCTCACGCATAAATTTAACGATTATTTATTTGCTTCCCTGCGTATGCACACCAGCACACGCGTACACGTCTGCATATATTTGGCCATTTCATTTATCTACTGTACAACTACACACACACAAACACACACACACATATATATATATATATATATATATATATATATATATATATATTGTTAAAACTTTATATTTGCTTTTATTTTTCATTCTTTCTCCAGTCACATCAACTACCAAAAAGTTCAAATTTGGATTTTGTTCACAATGCATTTTGGCACATTATAAATACTTTTTATTACAAACATTATATTTTTCCTCACCATTAACCCTTCAGTAGACATTTTGAATCTACCATAAGGGCTGAAGATTTGATTCATATCAAGTGAATCATGAAAAAGAAAGAACAATATCATTCGATTTTGCAAATACATTCTATAACATCCTGTTTACGCATGACTGGAAAAAAATCACCTTTTAACAAAACAACCATCCAAAACACTCTTCTAAATCATGTCAAAATTACCTCGAGTCAATAAAGGTAATACAATTTTGGAAATTATGACTTGGTTGCCTCAATTTTCTTAACTCTTTCCTATTGAATTGATATGGGATGAATTGGATAGGAAAATTCAAAGAGAATACCCAAAGAGTGAGAATGAACATTTTCAGTGTTTGAAGAATACTTGAGAAAGTCTGTAATCTAATTTTTGTTTTCAAAAACTGCTGGAAAGAATGCCAAGAAATTGTAAAGCAGTAATAAAAGCAGTTGGTTGTTTTATTGATGAAAAGAAAATATGATGCTGTTGTATGATAATATTTTACAGTTAAGTGCTTATTTTTGTCAAAATAAAAATAAATACGGTGTAGTTCCTGAAATTTTACCTTAAAATATCTAATGTTAAGGAATTTATTTTTTAAAAGAAATGCACTCTGGCATCTAATTCTTTTCCTGTAGTGTACAATTTGGATTGGTTTGTCCACAATGCATTTTGGCACATTATAAATACTTTTTATTACAAACATTATATTTTGTTCTGACCATTAACCCCCCAGGAGACATTTTAAAATTACCAAAATGGCTGGAGGTTTGATTCAGTTTAAGGGAATCATGAAAAAAGAAAGAACCATATCATTCGAATTTGCAAATACATTCTATAATATCAAGTTTACGCTTGATTGGAAAAAAATTACCTTTCAAAAAGACAACGATCAAAAACACTCTTCTAAATTATGTCAAAATTACCTCAAGTGAATAAAGGGAATACAATTTTGGAAATTATGACTTGGTTGCCTCAATTTTCTTAACTATTTCCCACTGAATTAATATGGGATGAATTGGATAGGAATGTTCAAAGAGAATACCCAAAGCGTGAGCATGAGCCTTTTCAGTGTTTAAAGAATACTTGGGAAAGTCTGCAATCTATGTTTTTTCGAAAACTGTCGGAAATAATGCTAAAAAAAATTGCAAAGCATTAATAAAAGCAGTTGGTGGTTTTATTGATGAAAAGAAAATATGATGCTGTTGTATGATAATATTTTACAGTTGAATGCTAATAAATTGCTTATTCTTTGTCAAAATAAAAACAAATACACTGTAGTTCCTGAAACCATTACCTTAAAAAGTACAAAAATATCTAATTTTAAGGAATTTCTTTTAAAGTGTGACCTCCAACTGTTTTTACTTTTATGTACAATAACGAAATCAAATGCCTGAGAAAGATTAAAGAAGATTTCTCTTTGTTACATCGACTTTGATCATTATACACTAAATTTAATGGCAGTAGTGGATTGGCAGCTAGGTCTCAAAAGGTTTTTTTTATTGAAATTGCTCAGTTTCACCGGAAGTTCATCTTCTTTCGCATTTCTTGCCAGTGGAACTCTCGTCTAGCTTCTGGCTCTTCTGTCAACTACAATCTAGAAAAATTTAAATGCGACGTCAATCGTCATCTTCTGTATGCTTAAATCCGTTTCGTTTTGTTGTCCTTTCTTCTCAGTAACGTTTCAATCTCTGTATACACATTGCGTCTTAGAGGCTTTATCTCTTTGCTTAGGGTGAAATAAAAATAGATAAAAAAGAAACAAATCAAAAATCAAGCGAACAGAAGGACGAAGATCTGTGAATCGCTCTTGGAATCAACACGTGGCTCAGCGTATCATTGTATTCGATCAGAAAGTTCAGATCTTAGCGGAGAAAACCTGAACATGTAATGAGTTCCGATTTGTTGAAACACCAAGTGCAGTTTAGGGAGA